TGTGCTGAATTTTATAGCATCTCATTATTTAAATATTATAAAGTTGAACTGTAATAAAATATTTTTATAATTAATTTTTATGACAGTTCAGAGTGTCAAAGAGAACTTTTCAAAATAAACAAACTTTTTTGTTAAATGAACTCAATAAATTCAAGAAAATACATTAAAAACCTTAATGTTCTTAAAGACATTACAGACTATTCCAAATAAGTGATAAGCAATTTATTTAATCACTGTGTCGTGGACATTATCGTTATATTGTCATTCGTTTAAAATTATATTTAAATAATAATTATTTTTATGACTATTTTTAATTACTTTTTTAATGGCTTAACAACAATAATTTATTTTTTTCTAAAGAACTTGCACTTTTGTGGCACGATTTGAATAAATGCCAGAATATTTCTCTTTATTGAATTAATTAATTTACATATTTCACTTGTTTAGTATTAAAATCTTTAAATAGTTTCAAATATAATAAAAAAAAATATTTTAATATTTTTAAGTGAAATAATTTCAATAATGGAAAAATAATTTAAATCTGAAAATTACACTGCAACTTATGAACGAATAGAATTCTCTAGAGGATGTTGTGATTCATGTGAAAAACATTTTTTATTTACTAGATATTGATGTATTAAAACTTAATATATATGGCCAATAATGAGACATACATATATATACAGTAATTTACTTAATATAATTTAATAAAAAACCATACTATTTCACGTTGGTATAGGTCTTGATGAATTTGAATTAGAATTAAATTTTTATCTTGAATCATTTAATCATATAAATGATATAAGCTTTTCATTAGACACTTAAGTTCTTTTCGTAGAACTAAGTCATCTTTGGAGGGTTGATGTAAGAAATATTATTATGTTTCTCTACAGTTCTCATCTCTTTTAATTAGCTTAGATTGTCTTCTGGGATAGCATTACACATCTCATGGATTAGACACATGTACCGCTGTGTCTTCTATTATAACAAAATTATTTAAATGTATCATTATTAATGATTAATCGATTTTATTCGATTATTTTTTTCGATTTTTAATATTTCTTTTTCGATTTTCGATTTTTAATATCTCTGGATGCAAATATAGTCTTATTTCTTTTATTAAGATATGTATTTTAATTAAGTTTTATACGATTTAATTTCAGGTTTTACCAAAGGTAGTCATTATATCAATTTTCTTTCAAAAGCAACTATTATAGACTATTATAGA